ACTGTCTTTGTTTCTATGTCATTTTCTTGCAGGATCTCTTTTACTATTGTGCGTAGAATCCGAAATTCTTATATAAAATCTGTTTTTTTTTAAAGATAAAAGTCAAAATGACATTATGTTGGCAATACAATGTGAAATTGTCAATGCTTTGAAATTTTTTATGTAGAAAGGGCTTGTGTTGCCAACATAGTTACTAAATTTTTGACTTGGGGAATTATCTTTAAATAAAAAACAGACTTTAATAATAATTTTAATAATATTAATAATTTTAGTACTACCATTGTCTACCTTATGATTTGAATTTTTAAAAACTTTGAAATCCCATCTCTTGAATCTGTCCAAATAGGTTTAGAAAATTCAAGAGCCCTAAAATAGAGAAAAAACATGAATGACTTGCATGATATACAAATTTTTGTCTCAATTTTTCTACATTTCTTTTTCAGTTAATTCTCAGTTTTTCCGTCTCAATTTTTGTCTATTCCCGGCTCTTGAATTTTTATTTGCTTCTAATGTCTCTAAATAGAAAAAATTCATGAGCTTGAAATAACCCAAAATATTATGCCTATTTTGTCGGAGTAAGATTTTGTATATCTCAGTCACGGTTCTAAAAATCAAGTGGGGTATGATTCCAATGTATTGGATTATATTTAAGCCCATACGTAAACTTTGCCCATACCTACAGCCTTTACCATTTAAGGCGCGGTTAGAAATAATTGCCCAGGTCTTCGTTGAATATGTGAGCAAATTGAAATAAATTGCATATAATTGGAAAGAGCAATAAATTCTCTATAAATCCGTGCAAAATTGAGCTTGATGGCTCAAATAGTTTTTGAGCAATTGAGACTCAAAGTTGGCTTTTAGAATTCAGAAAAAGTACACGTATGAAAAACTTGATTTTTTTATTTTTCAGTTTTGCTCAATTTTGACTTCACTAATCGATAGAGTGGGTCAAAATTAGTGAGGAACAACCAGAGTACTCTAAAATATTTTACTCTAGAGTACTTGTAGTAACTTACTCTAGAGTATTCTGGAACAGCGTACTCTGGAGTACCTTACTCTAGATTACTCTGGAGTAGTCTACTTTAGATTAGCTTACTTTAAAGTACTCTGGAGTAGTTTACTCTAGGAGTACTCTGTAGTAGTTTACTCCAGAGTACTTTGGAGTAGTTTACTCCAGAGTATTCTGGAATAGCGTACTCTGGAGTACCTTACTCTAGAGTACTCTGGAGTAGTTTACTCTAGAGTACTCTGGAGTAGTTTACTTTAGAGTACTCTGGAGTAGTTTGTTCCAGAGTACTCTGGAGTAGTTTACTCTAGAGTATTCTGGAGTGGCTAACTCTAGAGTAGCCTACTCCAGAGTACTCTGGAGTGGTCTACTCCAGAGTAGCTTATTTTAGAGTACTCTAGAATAGTCTACTCTAGAGTACTCTGGAGTAGTTTACTCTAGAGTACTCTGCAGTAGTGTACTCCAGAGTACTCTAGAGTAGTTTACTCTAGAATACTCTAGAGTAGCTTACTCTAGAGTACTCTGGAGTAGCTTACTCTAGACTACTCTAGAGTAGCTTACTCTAGAGTACTTTAGAGTAGCTTACTCTAGAGTAGCTTATTCTAGAGTAGGCTACTCCAGAGTACTCTAGAGTAGCTTACTCTAGAGTGCTCTAAAGTAGCTTACTCTGGAGTAACTTACTCCAGAGTACTCTGGAGTAGCTTACTCCAGAGTACTCTGGAGTAGGCTACTCTAGAGTAAGCTACTCCAGAGTACTCTAGAGGAGCTTACTCCAGAGTACTCCAGAGTAGCTTACTCTGGAGTACTCTGGAGTAAACTACTGCTAGAGTACTCTGGAGTAGCTTACTCCAGAGTAAGCTACTCCAGAACAGCTCACCCCAGAGTTCACACTAGAGTAATTTCCTTCAGAGTATTCTAAAGTAGGCCACTCTGGAATAGCATATTTCAGAAAGCCTTACTTAAGAGTAGCTACTTAAGAGTAAGCTACTCCAGAGTACTCTAGAGTAGGCTACTCCAGAACTGAGAGTACTTCATTCCAGAGTACTCTAGAGTAGAGCAGCTTATTATTGAATTGACCGCAATAATGGTTACTGATTACAATAATAGCTACTTTAGAGCAGGCTACTACAGAATACTCTCGTCTAGCTTGCTCCAAAATAGTCTGGAATAATCTGCTCTAGAGTACTATACAGGGGCGGATGGGCAACTTTGAATCGGCCCGGGACGGTTTTTGCTCAAGCGGCCCCGCGCGCTCACAGTAGGTGAATAACACTGGATAGGGTATCCTTTTTTAGAAAAAAAAAACCTCCTTATATTACTCAAAAACAGGGCCGCAACTAGGGGGTGGCGAACTAGGCGCCCGCCTCGGGCGCCGGAGTATCGGGGCGCCGAAGGCGCCTAATTTAATCCATCCATATTTTACAATTAAAAAAAATGCAACGGATTTACGCGTCATTTGTCGTAGCACGGAAATTTATTTTGCTTGTGTTACATCTCTCTTTGTCAACCATCAAAAATACGAATATTGATAGTAATCATATGAATTATGTCAAACACAGTGCGCGTGCAAAAGGCAGCAGCAAATTGCAATGTCTGTGATAAATTCAAGTATTGATGACGTAGCGCCCAACATTCGTTAGCTAGAGATTAGTTTCGAGTCGAGCTTTGATCCGACCAAACTGAGCAAGAGCATTGTGGGCGACATGGGCGCCCTCTGCATGCTGCATGCATTATCTCTTTCGACTCTTTTCTATTTAGCCGTTTACGGAAACTATAATCTGGTTACCCCGATCAACAGCTGAATGTTTTCTATCTTTTCCTAATGAATACGATTGAAAAAAGGAAAAATACGTCTGCTGGCGGTCGGGTTAACCCGATCATAGTTTCCGTAAACAGCTTTTACTTTTACAATAGCTTCGTTCGCGGTAAAGATTCTGAACTGGGCTAGGATCACGACAAGTAGAATTCTACTTTCATGACGTCAAGTTGGCTAGCAACCGTCATCATCGCCTGTACTGTACGCGATAAATATGTCGCGGGTGACGTCATAAAAGTAGAATTACACTTGTCGTGATCCCAGCCCTCAGGGGTCGTATTTTCGAATATTCTCGCATACGAAATTTGATACGATTTCGAATGCTCCCCATTTAATTTATATTGCTGTCATTCAAATTTCGTGTAAGAAATGTACTCGAATGGTTTCGAAAATCGCACCCCTGTTCGAAACCATTTCGCATGCGCAGTTCAAGTAATGGCGTTCGCGGATCACAAAATTCCGGACTTTTAGTTATGGTTCTGGATTCGCAGATCAACCAGAATCGGTTCGGAACCGTTTCTGAACCAGTTCTAGCGGTCCTTCCATTTGACTGCACATTATCAGTTTTTATTTTCCATTTGAAATCCAGTACAATTAGGTATGCACTCAGTGCGCATTTTTTGGGACGGACTAGGAAGGCCCGTGGAGAGCCAAAGTATCAAAAAATATATCTATTGTTACTTTTGAGAAGGCGGTGGAGGGGCGCCAAAATTTGGACTTGCCTTGGGCGCCGAGGGTTCTAGTTGCGGCCCTGCTCAAAAATACGAAAGCGTAGAGCCATGCTGGTAGGTATTGTAAAATATTTTCATGTTCTAGTTTAAACCACGTAGGTTGGAGTCGAACTCGAACGTAAAATGCCAATTTTGCCTTGGCTGTAGCCATTCCTGAACGCAGCCCAGGGCTGCGTTCAGGCATTACCGGTGGAGGGGGAAAAGTAAGTTTTGGCATAAGCATTGCCGTCTTTGTACGCACCCCCGGAGTGCGTTCAAAGACGGCAATGCTAATGCCAAAACCTACTTTTCCCCTTCTACCGACAATACCAAATATGTGAATTTGCTGGAACGCCAAATACCGTTTCTCAATTAGACAATCCAAACCACGTGACATTCAAGATGGCGTGGCGTCCACACATGGACGAAAAAACATAAAAAAATATCTGGTTTCTGCCCAACTCAATAGTTTACGTACCTACAAATATTTTATTGAATAATCAAAATCAAAGCTGCAAGCAAAATTCGAGGCAAAATAATTGAAATATGCATGCAAACACATATTCAAAACTAACTTGCTGGCTGCCACGCCATATTGAATTTGGTCTCATCCAATCAAAATTCGTATAACCATTTCTAGACTCAGTTGAAAAAGCCTCCAAAAGTTACTTTACCGCGGCCGATTCTGAACGTGTAAAGCCAACCGTTTTTGGCACGCTGGAGCCGAACTTGAACGCAATATGCCAATTTTGGCTTGGCTTTAGCCGTTTTTGAACGCAGCCCCGGTGTCCCGCCTGAGCCCATCCGCCCCTGGTACTATAGAACAAGCTACAGATAGATAGAAAACTCTAGAATATTCAATATTCCAGAGAAAACCCGCCACTGAACCCTAGTAGTATGCATAAAGCAAAAGCCCGCGAAAATCTAAGTACGGAATCATGACCTAAACAGCCTACGTCAAGGCGAGAAAGGACATGTTGACTACGTCACAACTGGTGATTTGGCGTGGTAGGAGGATTTCAGATTTGTTCTACATAGGCCTTATGAGGATAGGCTATCCTGTAGTAAGCCTATGACCTATACTCATAACTGCGAAATTCGCAATTTTTTTGACATTCCTTCAACAATTTAACGTCTGATTCAGGGATAAAACGTCAAATTGTCGACGCAATGTCAAAAAAGTGAGAATTTCGCAGTTATGAGTACTAGGAGGTAGGAGCACAGAATTTTGATGCAATAGAATGAAATGTTTAAAAAAAGTCTAAGGTTGAATAGAGAACGAAAATGATTTCCCCTATTCTACCTTGCAGCGCTGGAATGCTAGTGATAGCAAAATTTATCATTATCCTTTTCTTTTACATGCTTTAAAAAAAAGACGCGAATACACTCAATGCGCACTAATTTACAAATGAAAATCGCTAAAGTGTAAACTAAACCGCCTTGACAGTTAACTAGCCGACGACAACCGAAATTCAAAATAAATTGTGAGGTTAAGAAAAATTGTAATCTAAAATTTGTGAAAACAAAAAATTTAGCCATGGATAACGACCTAAACCGTTCCGTGAGGTTCCTAGAAGAAGCCCTGTCCACTCCCAGTCGTCGACTACACAAAAAACCAGCGCCCCAGAGGCGTTCGGATTGGATCGAGGATGTTACCTACGTGATGGCCCCTCACGAAATTGAAAATCTGATGCACTGCCAAAGTTTCTACGATCAAACCATGAACGATCTTATGCACGTCAATAGAACCCTTACAGGTGAAGTTTTACAGCACCAGAACCCTTGGACGTCGACTGTAGATCGTTTGTATATTGAGTTTTTCGAGGTGCTCCAAGGACAATCTGAAGCTCAAGATTCTCTCGAAACGTTGGCAGAACTTGCACGGTGTTGTTCAGATGCTTTAAATGTACTCAAAGGCTTAAAGTCTCAAGTAGCAGTCGGTGCTTTAGAAGAGGAAAAATGGTTGGAAAAAGAACGTGACACTTGGAGGTTGTTGTTTATTTTGTACCAAGACAGGCTTATGAGTCAAAATTCAATAGAACAAATCGACCAGGTTCAATATTTTGGGAAATCTGAAAGAAATTGCGTGCAAAATTTATTCAAAAGGGACAACCTAATCAGAGAATGTCAACTTGTTATTGATTGGTTAGAAGCAGAAGCTTGCGGAAAAGATGAAAAAGTATTGCACATTCCTGATGCAGTCGGTTGGGAAAACACTTTACATCAAATAGAGTCTAATAAAAATCTTGCTTTTGGTAGTTCCAGGCCTGTAGTTGATCAAATGGACCCTGATGCACCTCACTATCTAAAAAAGTCACTTCACGATCTTGATATGGAAGCTGATGAGGGTTTGAGCAGAAAAATATTCAAAGAAATTAGATGTGGTAGGTTGGAAGAGGCTCAAAAACTTGCAAGTCAATGCGGACATTCTTGGAAAGCTGCAATTTTTGAAGGCTGGCGATTATTCCATAATCCAAATATAAAAGAAAATGATTGTGCTGAAATATCTGATGATGATGGATATGAAGAGAGGAGCTCAAATGAATTCAAAGACATTGAAGGTAATGGCAGTAGAGACATTTGGAAAATAATGGCTTTGAGATATAGCAAACAAGATTGGATTAATCCTTATGACAAAGCATCTGTAGCTACTTTCTGTGGTTACATTGAAGCCATATTGCCTGTATGTTCAACTTGGGAAGACAATTTATGGGCCTACATGAAATCAATTGTTGATATTCGTGTGGAATCTGAAATAAGAGATTGCTGCACCAAAAATAACAGCTATTTACCACTACCAGAAGAGTATTGGCTACAGCGTCAATCTTTGAATGATGTTTTCAGCAATTTGGCCTCCTCAGAAAATAGAGTTGTGAGGGAAGAAGCTAAAGAACCCCAGCATGTTGTACAAAAACATATAGTTTTAGACGAAATCATGGTCTTGCTCAAGGAATTAGAAGAATGGTCTGAGAGTGCAAATGTTTCTACTCAATTTTTGAGATTTGCTGCACATTTGGTCTTGTTTTTAGATCAAATTGGACAAGCAAACAGAAGAGATTGTGTTGAGGCTGTTGTAGAAGCGTAAGAATTTTTTTTATTATAATAATAATACATATTCTTATTATCAATATTGTTCTAGTTACATCAAAAGATTGATGATGATGGGAGAAACCCAATTGGTTGCTTATTATGTGAGCAAACTGAATACTTTAAGTCAAGTCCATATATATGCCAAGCACTTGGAAACTATTTTGGAGCATGAACAACGAAAAGAAGCCTTGAAATTTGCAGAAGAATGCGGCCTAGATGTTCTGGCAATCACCAAGCAAATTGTGGAAAATATTCGCCAAAAATCTAGTGATTTGAATCTGAACACTATTTTACAGGTAAAAAATGATAGTATTTTGTTTGAAATTCCATAAGAGCCTTATTGTTTCAGAAAACAATAACAGAGAGTGACAAACTTAAAATCTCAGCAATTGATTGGCTGATTTTCTATGAATCACAACGCAGTGAACTTTTAGCTCAATCCAACGCAATAATTTTCTATTTCTTGATTTTGGGAAAATTAGATGCTGCCCAATTAGCTTTCAATAAAATCCCCAATGATGCTGTTGAAACTGTTATTTCGGAAGTAGGTGACAGCAATGAAGAAATTAATAAGATTATTAAAGAACATTTGGGCTACAAAGTTTATTTGGAGTCCTATGAAGCATTTAACGAATGGTTCAAGCAGGCTAAAAATAAACCAGTTGTACCAGATCAGCTGCACGAAAATGCTCAATTTCCTGAGAAAGTGGCACATCAACATAGATTGTCTCAACATAAGGCTGAAGTAGAACGGTAATAATTTGTTAATGTTTTAATTTTTTTTAATTATATTTTGCTTTAGCTGGAAATTAACCACAACTCATTTAGCTAAAACAGCCAAAACCCTCCTCTACAATGTCTTACTGTTTCCTGAAGGTTGGCTTTCTGAAGCAAACGAAGGCGCTCATATAAGAAAAATGATCATACCTGAAGTGACCTTTTTATTGTGCACAGTACTGTATGAAAGTGAAATGTATGAAAAGTGCGTTCAGCTTGCCGACATTGTTGCTTCAGAAAGGTTCTGCTTGTATAAAGAGTTCAACAAGCAACAACTTGGACGTTTTCTTACGGAAGTAGGCGAAGCTTCCAAGGTGCTTACTGAATTAAAAAAGGATCCTTGGGGCAACGATATGACTGCTTGAAACTATGCATTTGTATGTTCAGTTTGTAGGTTTAAGTTTCAGTTTATAATTTTTTTAAAAATAAAGTTTGTTTTATGCGATTTTGGTAAACGAAATGTCGTAGGTAAAATTTGAGAATATCACTTTGTAGAGCAGGAAAAACTAAAGGATTTCCAAATTTGAAATGTATTTCTAAAACCAACCGTTATCTAAATATTTGGCAAAGCAGGTTTTGACGGTATTCATAAATCGCCTTGTATTTCGCGAAGCTAAGAGAAATTTGGCAACAGCAAATTGATAAATGACAGTATTGCTAATTATTCATTGGACTCTATAATGAACATTGAACTAATTAGTTTATTATATCCCTAGGTACTTAGGTAGATAAGTTGGTCATATACTGAGTGCTTTTATAAAAAGATTTGAAATCTGTGCCCAAATTACCTATGATGTAGGAACCTGTTTTTTTTTTTTTAAATTACAGTTTGAAATTGAAATTAAACCAATAAAAGCCTGGAATGGAACGACATGACAATATCCTTGCGTCATGACGTCATTTTCATTATTGACCTAGGTTTTTTTCATTATCGCCTAGGAAGAACAATTCTACTACTTCTCAGATCAGTAATAAAAAATTAGTATAGTATGCAACGAGCGGATAATGATGACTATTACTCAGGAAGAATGAAGTTTGCACTACGAGCCGCAGGCGAGTAGTGTAATCATCCGAGTGACTAATATCCATTACCCACGAGTAAAATACCATGCTTTTTTTACTAATAACCTGAAAAATAGTCATTATTCAATTTATTTTTCTAGGAAAAAATTGAATTTCTCTCCCTAAATGAATAATCAAAATAATGAAAAAATACACAGGTCAATAATGAAAATGACGTCATGACGCAAGGATATTGTCATATTTCCATTGGTTAAATTTCAATTTCATACGTCAATTTAAACAAAAATACAGGTTACTGTAGGTACAGTGGCTAAATAAACCTTACAGTGGCTAAATAAACCTTTACATACAGTGGCGACAATAGAGGTCGCGCCGCCATCTTGTTCCCAACCTCTTGTTACTTTTAAATATTAATTTATAGGATTTGAATGGATATCTATCATAAAAAATTGAAATCGACGTATTTGATGATTATTATTAGGTCCATCAAATACGTTGTTTTTCACGATTTATGATGGATGTTCACCTAAATCCCATATATTCATATTTAAAAGTAACAAGAGGTTGGGAACAAGATGGCGGCGTTTTCAATGTAAATATATGGGATTTTAGAACCAATCAAAAATAAGACAGCAATTGTCGCCACTGTGGTAATAGAGTCACTGTAATAAACCTTTACATACAGTGGCGACAATAGAGGTCCCGCCGCCATTTTGTTTCCAACTTCTTGTTACTTTTAAATATTAATATATAGGATTTAAATGGACATCTATCATGAAATATTGAAATCGACGTATTTGACGACTATTTTTAGGTCCATCAAATACGTTGCTTACCATGTTTTATGAGGGATGTTCACCTAAATCCCATATATTCAGATTTGAAATAAGCAATGGGTGGGAACAAGATGGCGGCTTTTGCAATATAAATATAAATATATGGGATTTTAGAACCAATCAAAATTAAGACAGCAATTGTCGCCACTGTGGGTAATTGAGTCACTGTAGCTGTAGGTACATAGGAAGTTATCATAAGCTGTTGATAGAGGGCAGCACTTTCAAGAGGGCGTTCAAAACAAATAATTTGAGCACAAATTTCAAACCAATTTCTTATTTCCTACTAGCAGTAGTGAAATAGTATATTATATACCTCGGTAGAGAAGTTGGTCATTATATACCGAGCGCTTTTATAAACCGAGGCGCAAAGCGCCGAGGTTTATATAATGCGTGCGTGAGGTATATAATGACTTTCTCTACCGAGGAATATATAGATTTTTTTTTACTACTGCTAGTGAAAAATACAAAATTTGCTTAAAATCTGTGCTTCAATTATTTTTTTCTATTTTGGTGTCATATCGAAGTCTTTTCGACACTAAAAGTAGTTTCGAAAAGAAGCTCTTTGTGACACTCCTTTTTTACTTATCGGAGGTTGGTAACACTGGCTGACTGATGGCCATCGAATTGTCATTCGCGATTTTAAAATAGAAGATTTCTATATTTGGCATGTAGTGTTACCAACCCAAACATATGAAATCAGGAAATATGAGAATAAAATTTCCAAGAAAAATTTGTTTTCTTTAATTAAACAATACCAAAATAGAAAAAATAGTATAAAATATTCGTTTCATAAGACATTTTATCGCACTCGCCCTTTAGAAAACTCGCCTCCGGCTCGTTTTCTAATATAGGGCTCGTGCGATAAATTGACGTCTTATGAAACTTGTATTTTAATGTACTATTTTTGGACGCCCTCTTGAAAGTGGTGCCCTCTATCAACACCTCATGATAACTTTCCACGTACCATCGTCACCAAAAGTAACTGGGACAGCATCACATTAGCTCTTGTTCTATTATATGAATTTTATTGTCAAATATTTGTCAAATTATGAATTAAATGCATTAAAATGAATGACAGAAGAATTAGTCCAGGAGATTATTATGCATTATTTGTGTCCCAGATACTTTTGGTGACGATGGTACCTACAGAAACCTGTATTTTTTTTATTTGATGTATGAAATTGAAATTGAACCAATAGAAACATGATAATATCCTTGCGTCATGACGTCATTTTCCGTACGCATCATAAACCTCGGCGCTTCGCGCCGCAGTTCATAAAAGCGCTCGGTATATACAGTGATGTGCCTGTAGACAATGTCAACGTAAACAATTGATTGTCTACGCGTAGACAATTCGAATTGTTTACGTGAGCATTTGTCTACACGTCTACATGTGGCGTAAACAATAACTTATTTTAAAAAAATTGAAAAAAAATATAGAAAGTTACTATACTATCACTATCACTTCGATATTAGCATTCACTGATAATAAAATATCAGAAAAACCAATAATAAAATAAAAATAATTTAAGAAAAGGAAAGTGTGAGGTTAGAATTACCGTGCGTTCGTTATTTTGGAGTTCTCCGAGCTTGACTTTACCGTTTGTTTATTTAAAAAGTGTACTCGGTGCAGCCTCATTCGCGTTCGTTTATTAAAATTTCCGGTACTTTTATACGGCGTTCAACTGCTCCGTTCACTCGCTGGTCACGTGATTACGGCTCCGCTCAGCTCGCTCTACACTTTAAGCAAAATACCGAACGCAAGGTTAAACGTCATTTATATTATTTTACATTGTTGACTGTTGACACGTTGTCTACATTGTCTACAATCCCTGGGTATATAATGACCTACCTACTTCTTTACCTAGGTATATAATATACTATTGTAAAATGTGTAGATAAATTGGATTTTATCTAAATAAAGGATTGTCGGTAAAAAAAAGCCAATTATGAATTACAGTTTTCTATATTTTAATACACAACAAATCTTAAAAATACGTCGATCCTGCTATGATGTTTTCGAATACGGTCCCGATGACGGACAATGACAGAACGTGACGTCAATCCAATCCAGGGACAAAAAAAAATGGTGGACGCAAGGATGTGTCGGGCGTTTTAAAATAGAAACCAATTTTTAGATGCAATTTTCCAAATAATCCTCAATTCCCCAGCTCTAGATTTAAGTGCAATATATTTTACATTACTTTTACCATATTAATTTACTAGGTAAGCAATTGGTCAATCCTCTAATCACGGTTGTTAGGCATTTTTTCCATTCGAAAGTTAAAATAACGGTATCCCCAAAAAAAGCTAATTTTTCCTGGATATCAAAAGCTTATGTAAATTGCAACCGATCCGGCACTGTTCTGGATCACCACACAACCGCACATCAAGGAATTTTCATTGATTTTCCTCAAAACGCAAGTGCAGTGCCATTTCTATTTGTTTTTCCTTATTGCGAAGTGACTCACAGGATCACTCCCAAAAAACTTAAAATAATGGAACTACTTGCAGATAGGCCCAAACCCACCATGTCAGACCGTAGAGCAGAATTGGAAAGGAAAAAGCTCAAACTCCAAGCTTTGAGGGAGGAAAAAGAACGGCGGAGACGCGAAAAGGAAAGAATCGAAGTTAAGGAAGCCACAGACAGAGTCCAGCTGGCTGCGGGAGGAGACAGGAAGGACATCGACGAAGTCCTCAACGAAATTGGTGTGGCCTCGTTGACCGAAGTCTATTCTAGTATTTCTAGTGCAAACACTGCAAATTCCTTGACCCCTGAACCCAGCAGGAATCATACGCCTGATACATCGTTGCAGATTAATAATTTACCTAACAAGTGAGTCATAATTTCATTATGAATATTGGTTTGAAAAATGCAAAGAAAAATGTTTACTATTTCTGCTTGGAGATCTATAGTAAACACATAAATGATAAGTGTTTCCATGAAGCATTTCAAATTTTAAATATACAGGGTGATTTCGAGTATAGAATGTTACTTAAAACTCCCCCTGTATATTTAAAAAGAATTTTTTTATTAATTCCAGGCACTTGTTTTTGTTTCATTCTGCTTATGTAAATTTCAGTGTAATTGCCGTAAGAAAAAAGGTCCCTCAACTGACTGTCGTCCCAGTCCAAACTACCAGTATTCCACCTAAAGAAGTTGTAGTTTATACGAAACAAACGCAAACGACAGCAACAGGACATGAACTCAGAGATGGTAAGACTGCCTTTATCATTTGTGATTTTGTAATATTTTATTTTGCATCCTTATTGTTGGTAATTCTTTTCATTTTTGTTCACCCTGTATTATGGAAAAAAGATGTTTTAAATTGTTTGTAATAGATAGTTGCAAAAAAGGGGTTTGAGGCATTTTTTCTTTGGGAATTTTTTAATAAATAGTTTATTTGACTTTCAAAAGCTTAAATTTGAACACTAAATTTTCTAGAATAAGTACTGGGTGATTGTCTATATTTTGCATGCACACCTATCTCACCTGTTTGCAGAGATTCCCAGAAAGGACCATGCACGCATCTTATAAGAAAAAATAAATTATACGATTGTCATGAAATTGAAATATGTTATGCTTCTCGACCTCCTGAACGTAAGTTCTCGTAGACCCAAAAAGATCCTATGATCAATTTTGGAGATACAGGGCCGGGTTTACAAAAAATAAACATTTCAAAATATGTTAAGTTTAGCAATGGCATATTCTAGGTTAAAAACGGGTGTAAAAATGCCAAAGTAATGCATCTGAAGCTTTGAAGGTTGAAAACTTGTCAAAAAATGCCAAAAACATTTCATTTTTGGTTATATACCAGCAGATTCTGGAGATTTTTCTTGTACTTCCTTTTTTTATCGGTCCTGTATCTCCGAAACTAATCATAGGATCTTTTTGGGCCTACGAAAACTTACATTCAGGAGGTCGAGAAGCATAACATATTTCAATTTCATGACAATCGTGAAATTTATTTTTTCTCATAAGATCTGTGCGTGGTCCTTTCAAATGTGAAAGTTGTAGGTAATATTAAAAAGTTTTCAATGATGTTAGTTACAAGTATACAGGGTGTGTCACAAAATTGTGGCGAAGCAAAGTTATACTTTTTTAAATGGAAAACCTTGTATATTATTGTCCCATTGGATTAGCCTTTCAAACCTGATTCCAAATATACTAGGTTTTTAAGGTTTATTCCTCATAGTCCAGCCTCTGAAGATCCCATTTTGAAGAAATAAAATGGATTTTCTATACCTTTATATTTTGCTAGTGGTTTCTGTACTCTGTACTTCACCTTTTTTCATTAAAATATGCAATTATTCCACCCCTTTTTGTCCTATTTTATCCTAGACTATAAGGAATAAACCTAAAAACCTTAGTATATTTGGAACCAATTTTGAAAGGCTAATTCAATGGGACAATAATATATGGCGTTTTCCATTTGAAAAAGTATAACTTTGCTTCGCTACACATTTGTGGTACACCCTGTATACTTGTAACTAGCATCATTGAAAACTTTCTGATATTACCTACAATTTTCATATTTGATATTTTTGAGTATCCTTTCAAACAGGTGAGATAGGCGTAGGTGCAAAATATAGACAATCACCCAGTACCTGAAAAATTGTATATTATGAAATTCAATACTGTATTTATGTATCTTTCATGGAGATTTTTTCAAAATAACTTAAAAGCATGGTTTATTTTTTTCCAAGATAGATTTTGGCATTGTCAACTTTGAAATATAAACAATGCCGCTAATGCCGCTTATTTGTCGCTATTGTAAAACTGATGTCAACCTGCAGAAACACCTTATTTTGCGACCAATCAGGGTCAAGCGTTATTGTTTATGTTTCAAAGTTTTTAATGTCAAAATCTATCTTGGGAAAAAATAAAGTGTAGGTAGCTACCTTTACTTTTTGATTTGGATTTTCAAAAACTTTGAAGACCCATAACTTTTTTTCTATTATAGATAGAAAGCTGAAATTTTCAACCATTGTTATCCTAATGGAGAACTTTCCAAAAAATTACCTTTACAAGTAGTTCAGAATATTTAAAAAAAGGTTGACTAGATTGTGATTTGTACAGGGCAGATACTCCTGAAAAGTTCTTCTGAATAATAAATAGTTAAAACATCATTTTCCATACATACAAATTTTGTGTTTAGACTGTGTTCAAGTAGTATTTGTATTAACAAAGTTTTTGCTTTATATTTTAATTATGTCAAAAATAAGAAAAATATCATAGTAGCGATGTTATTTGTTTTGTATCATAAATTGCTAACAAAGGATTTTCTTCCACATCATCATCGCCCCTTAAAGGCTATATGGAGGACTGGTGGAGACCTCGAAAAGGTACGCAAAACTTGTCGCACAATCCTGTATATAGCTGTTGTAACCACAATATAAGTAATTATTGAAAAAAGATTTTTCTAAAACAAGCACTCTTTGCCAATTACTCTATCTTCTTAAATGCAAATGGATTTTTCAATGAAAAAATCCTTTTGCCTTATTCTAACTTGCACTAATCATAAGAAGTATTTTTAACTTTCAGAACTTCCTTTTTCATTTATTTAGAAATTCACTTATTAGGTGTTGAATTACCAACAAATATAAGTAAAAAAATAATGTCTAACATAATTTTTTTCTTTTTCCATTTCCCTCCAGCACATGCCACAGACTACTACGGTAAGTTTCTAGATTTCAAAAGATATTGCCTAGTTTTTTTTTTTTTTGCTTTTTTGCCTAAGTTTTTTTTCACGGTCCTTCACAAACAACAATTTAGTTTTAAAATGGAAAAACCTATCTTCCTTCCAATATCCTTTGTATTTATTTTCTTCTCTATGTATAAAAATGTACGTTTGCCTAAATTTTAAGGAAAAACATTGGGGGAGTTCTGATTGTTTCACATTGAAGCCAATATTGAGTTTTTTTTTAAATAAAATACCTTGCTAACACACTAACTGCATGTCAAAATTAACCCAAAAATTTAATTGGCTTGTGTATTATTTGCAGTACTATTTTGAAGCCATCATTTGTGAATTTTTAAAGCTGCGAAAATAAAAATAAGTTACAAGATTATTTTGTTTATTTATAGATGTAACTTATTTTTATTTGTCAAATCAAAATTTTGATCCCTAATCTGAACTGTTTCTCTTTTTAATTCCCACCCTACGGCAGACGAATACAACCTAAACCCAGGTTTAGAGTGGGAAGATGAGTTCACAGGTAGGTGGCTACGCATTATAGCTTTAGAGGTATTATTTTATTCTTTTTAATTCTTGCCGCCTCTTGGTGTTTTGTTGTTATCTATAGAGCTGTTTTGAGGGGGTAGACTTTTGCTTGCGTAGCTGTACCATGCTAACAATAATAATTGTATTGTGAAAATGTGAAAATTTACCCAAGTAACTTTGTATATGAGGAGGCAACTTTTTCTTTGTTATTTCAATGAAGCATGCGTTTTCTGGTCTCATCAGTGAGGCTAGGAAGAGAGGAAAAAATACCATTTACTGTCTGCAGATGAAGAATCGCCAGCTAGTACTGCAGGGTTGGCAAAAACCTGGGTTTTGAAAATCTCGATTGGATTTTTGCCAAAAATGATACTGGGACAGTTTTTGCCTCGCAACTCTGTTAATTTCCATCCGATTTCAATGCAATAAAGCTCTAATTAAAGCCAATTAAATTCTCTACAAACCTGTTAATTAAGATTTTGATTTGCTTATGCCAAACCTGTAGTACTGCCACAGATATAAGGGCAACTATTAAATCTACCACTGTTGTAATTTAAAACAATATCCTGCTTGCATAGATTATAAAATATATCCTGTATATTAGAGTTTGAATTTTATTCCCTCAGAAGTCAGAATCATACTTTCGATCGAATATATTTTCTCATAAATACAATTATTACCCAACAATTTCCATAACATTTCTATTCGCTTTTAGATACACGCTTAACTTTCTTAGTTTGTAACACTTATGGTTTACTAATCTTGCACCTAATATCTGCTTGCCTATTTTTAAGCATGTAAAGGTGAACTATCTCTTTTCGGCCTATAACTGTGTCTCTGCTCCTATTTCCCATAATCCCTTATTAAAATCCCTTTCTACACAGAAAAAATGCTTTGTGCTATTATACTTATTTGTATGCGTGTATGTGTTTTATGATTTTTTGAATTTAATTGGCACCAATACAAACTTTTAATTAATTGGTGTATTACATAGAGTGTGTGTTTTATTTTCTCTAAGCCACATTAAAAGATTTCTCACAGCAAGTCATATTCTTATCACAAAAAAAAAAATCTTTTAGTGTTGCTTTTTGTAAATACAAAATACTTTATGCATGGAAAAAGTGTGTGTGACTGCGCCTTAAGCGCCTTGAGAACGCGCCAAAATATTCACCATTAGTTTTGACATATGATGACCCGCAAGGAGAAGACGAAGAGAATTCGTTGCCCCATCTCGGTGTCAGCAAGCTACCGCCCGGTTGTCTACCACACGGGCTGCCGCAGGTTAAGGAAGTGCAGCCGGCTGTCACTCAGGTGGAACAAGAGGCCAAAAAGGAAGAAAATAAAGAGAGTAAGTAAATTATATTTGGCCAATATTGTAATGAAAAATGTCTTTTGCAGTAAGAGAGCTTAGTGAAGAGGAAAAACAAATGATTATACTTTCTGAAGAATTCCAACAGTTTGTTGACCATGCTGGGAGAATTATGGAAAGGGCCTTATGCGAAAGTGTAGATATTTATACAGATTATTCTGGCATAGGCGAAGAAGGTCTAGACGAAAAGTGCCATCAGAGGATTTCATTCAATAGGACTTTCTTTGATGAAAGGTACTTGTTTGTGTTAGAAAAATTATGAAGCAAAAACATAAATGCAATTTTCAGGTGGTCAAAAAATCGTGCAATTACATCATTGGATTGGTCGCCACAATTTCCAGAATTACTATTAGCTTCCTATACGAATAACGAAGAATCCCCCAACGATCCTGACGGAGTAGTTCTAGTTTGGAATACCAAATTCAAGAAAGCCACTCCGGAGTACGTTTTTCATTGTCAGAGTGCTGTGTTATCTACTACATTCGCAAGGTATCCTATTGTTGCACTCAAGCTTCAAATGACTGATGATTTTTTTGTAGGTTTCATCCTAATTTAATATTAGGAGGCACATATTCAGGCCAAATTGTCCTGTGGGACAATAGAGTGCAAAAAAGGACACCTATACAAAGGACACCGTTATCTGCCGGTGCACATACTGTAAGTAATTTACACAAAGTTTGTTTAAATCTACCATTAAAGTGTTCAGTTAATAAAAAGCCTGTTATGATTCACTGGTTGGTTCTTGATTCGCTGGACATTTTTTGAAGAGAAAATCTACCAGTTATGAGTTTAAATTGTGATTGGCTAACTGGTTTCTTGATTTGCTGAATTATTTTTTCAAGACCAATCAGAGACCCGACCAAAACAGTCTAAATATTAATTATTATTGGTTTTTGATTGGCTGGACATTTTTTAAAAAGAAAATCCACCAGTTATGAGTTCAAATTTTAATCATTATCGGTTCTTGATTGTCTTTAAAAAAAATCTTCAGCCAATCAAGAGCCTGTAATAATTCAAATTTCGATTTAAGCAATCAAAGTCTAGATATTGATTATTATTGATTCCTGATTGGGTGGACATTTTCCAAATAAAAATATGAATCTTGTTATAATAGCATCCTGTCTACTGCATGTCAGTGGTGGGCACGCAAAACGCGCACAACCTCATCAGCATTTCCACCGACGGCAGGATGTGCTCTTGGTCGCTGGACATGTTAGGACAACCGCAAGAAATTCTAGATTTGCACAGGATGCAAGGCAAACCGGTAGCTGTGACTTGTTTGGATTTCCCTAGTTCGGATGTTAATAATTTCGTTGTAGGATCTGAAGAAGGCAAGCATAGTCACTTGATAATAATCAAAGTCTGCAATGATTTATTTTTTCAGGTGCTGCTTATTCAGCGTGTAGACATGGAGCGAAAGCAGGAATTACAGAAACTTATGATGGTCATCAAGGGCCTATTACAGGCATAAGTGTTAATGCAGTGCAAGGAGGCATTGATTTTTCCCACATGTTTCTTACTTCTTCATTTGATTGGACTACAAAGTTGTGGAGCTTAAAAGTAACAACATTTATTATGTGTGCTATTCACATAGACAACACTTTTTTTTCTTATAGGACTCAAAACCAATTTACTCATTCGATGACAACAGTGATTATGTACTAGACATCAAATGGTCGCCAGTCCATCCCGCTCTTTTTGCTGCTGTAGACTGTAGTGGACGCTTAGATTTGTGGAACTTAAATCAAGACACAGAAGTGCCAGCGGCCAGTGAAACTGTCGAAGGAATGCCCGCTTTAAATAAAGTTTCGTGGACGCCATCTGGATTGCACGTCACGGTTGGGGATAATTTAGGCAGAATTCATGTGTATGATGTTGCAGAGAATTTTGCCCATCCCAGGCACGATGAATGGAACAAATTTCTCTACACCACACAAGAATTGCGCAACAGTCAAGTAGACGAGGATTTGGTGAAACTTAATTATTCGGTGTCAAGCATAAATACGTCGTTTTAAAGTCCTAGGAAATAATTTTGGTTTCCAATTATTTTTAATCATTAACCTAGTCAAAATTTATTTATGTTTTTTCTTTGAAGTTCTGATTAAAATACTCCAAAATTTGAGTAGTATATAGGAAAAATACTATAACAACAGAACAGTAGGTTATGTCAGGAAAAGTTTGTAATTATGTTTGATAGTCCTTTTAAAAATGATAGAAGTTGAATTCTATTATTTTTAAAATTGATTAAGTACACCCAGCATTGTGATTATGTGACCTGTTAAGATTGAAGTATATAGAAAGCGATTTTTTTACTCAGATTGTAGACTGTAAGTCTTGTTAAATATTAGTTTTTTTTTTGTTATGTAAATTGAAAAATATCGATAAATTAATGTGCTTTGTCCTCCTTCAAAAAGTAAAAATATCTAATATTGTATTTTAACCACAATAAAATCTTCGCGCTTATATTGTTAATGATGATAGTTTCACTCACAGAAAAATAATTTTGTTAAAATGTGCCTGTACATAAGCTAATTTATTTTTTATTATTAACAGATAATTTAGTGATTCTTTTTGATACTTATTTTGTTTTATATAGATACTTTTGTGCCTCAGTGTACATATTATTATTAAATTATTTCAAAAATAAATTTGGCATTCAATAATAAGGACAATATTTGAGTTTTATTTTCTTAACAAGTAGATGGAACTGTCAAAATTTAAAGAACTTTAAGTATTTTACTTGAATTACTTTTTTTTGTTAAGTGCTTTACTTGTACCTACTTCAAACTTTGCTACTTCCAATATTTATTCTAAAATACTTGGATTTTTATTTTATTTGATTATGTAAATTATTTTCTTGAATTATTTTGAGTACCTAAAGTTTGTTTCGCCAGGGTTTGTACTTGCCACCAGCATTTACCTTCCTTGTTTAACAAATATAAATTGACTGAAATAAATCAATTACGTCAAAAACGTTCGTCGGTTCTTGAAAGAGAAGTCATTCATTTTAATTTGTCAAAAAAATTGAATGTGTCATATGAATTAATCTGCGACAACCCTTTATTTTCAAGTTTTAAGGTCAAGTATGAACCGTGGTGAAACGAACCTTACCTACTTTTTCTGAATTCTAAAAGCCAACTTTGAGTCTCAATTGCTCGAAAACTATTTGAGTTATCAAGCTCAATTTTGTATAAATTTATAGCTGTTTCCAATGATATAATTTATTTCAATTTGCTCAAATATTCAACCAAGATTGGGGCAATTATTTCTAACCGCGCTTTAAATAGTAAAGGCTGTAGTATTATGGGCTTAAATAATATGTATAATTAAATAAATACTCTATTTTGGAATCATGCCCTGCTTTATTTTTAGAACTGAGACTGAGATATACAAAATTTTACTCAAATTGGGCGCACCTTTATAACGAAAAATATTTAAAAAATCTAAGCATCAAAGTATGTATGTACTGAGTGTTTTTTTTTATATATAAACACCCCACCTACAGCTTTTACCTTTACAGGTAGAAGAAAGATGTAAATACAAAAGTTATACAGTTTTGACTGAATTTTTAGAAATCATGGTCAGAAACAAAATTTGAATGTCCGAAATGTGAAATTTTCTATGCTTCCAGCTTTTTTCAAATGCGATGCCCTATATTTCATTCTATATTTTCGAAGAGCACAATGTTCCGATTCCAAAAATATATAGTTTGTCTATATTTGATTGACACAGTCTCTCATATATTCGGCTCCAAAAATTGTAAAAATACTACCTATCCTCTACTACTAATTTTGTGAACCATTCTACCTGTACAGGTGAAAGCTGCAGGTATTTACCTACTTGGTTGCTGATAGTAACTATTTTTATTCTATCGTGAATGGTAAACTATCATTTAATCGACTCAAAACTCGTTGTTAAAGTAACACTTTATTTGAAGTAGTGAAATCGAACAATTTTTACCCACTCATTTGTCAATTTTACCCACTCATACGTCAATTTTACCCACTTGTTCAAATCTATTATAATAATTATAGTGTTTTTGACAGAAATCTGTTATGTTGCATGATTGACAACACCAGAAATGTGTCAATTTGTTAGGTACTTTGTCAACTTGTCATAATCTATGTAAAATTTTAGCACATTTTAGTTTATGATTTTAGTAATTGTGATAGTAAAAAGTTGCTCAAGAATAAAATAGAATATTACACACGATGGTAAAAAAGCTTTACCTGTTCGTGGAATTGATCCACTCGCTCCTTCGTCGCTCGTGAATCAACATTTTCCACTCACAGGTATAGCATCTTTTTACCGTCTTGTATAATAAATAACTATTAAAACCAACCAATAACATAATTTGACAAGTTATTCAAGTACAAACGAGTGGATTGTTGCGGAACTTATGGGTGGATCTCTGCGGGACGAGCGCAGCGAGTTCCGCAGTCATCTAGTACGAAACTAACCTGACTCACTCGAATGTGAGTTCTCATCAGTTCAAAAACTACACGTTTCAGGTGAGTGGCTTATTTGAATAGTTCAACAGTTTATTAGTGAGAAGATGGGTGCGGAACTCGCTGCGCTCGTTCCGCAGAGATCCACCCCTAAGTTCCGTAATAATCCACTTATTTGTACAGGGTGTTTTTTTTATATATTGACACCCCACCTATAGCCTTTACCTTTACAGGTAGAAGAAAGGTGTAAATACAAAAGTTGTACAGTTTTGGCTGAATTTTTAGAAATCATGGTCAGGAACAAAATTTGAAAGTCCGGAATGTGAAATTTCGCATGCTTGCAGCTTTTTTCAAATGGGATGCCCTATATTTCATTATATATTCTTGAAGAACATAATGTCCCAATTCCAAAAATATATAGTTTGTCCATATTTGATTGACACAGTCTCTCATATATTCGGCTCCAAAAATTGTAAAAATACTATCCTACTATATGTACTAATTTGTGAACCATTCTACCTGTACAGGTGAAAGCTACAGGTGAAATTTGAAGTGGTTTCTCTGATAGTATTTTTAAAATTTTTAGAACCAAATATGTTGGAGACGGCTCAACCAAATATAGACAAACTACATAGTTTTGACATCTAGTTAGTTTTGAATTGTACAAATATCATATTCCGTGTGCAACTTAGTGAAGCAATATCATGCGATACCTCAAAATTTTCAGGACAATGTGTAGATAACAAATTTTAATGGGGCGTATCTCGGAATGGCGGCAGAAGGGTGAGAACCACCCTTATGCAGTAGGGTAGTACTGCGTATATCGTATATTATGCAAAAACATATTTCCTTAATTATGATTGGATTTCATAGTATTCACCACTTTTGTTTCAGGTAACGTCGATGAGATCTTTGAAAATATTACGAAACCATCCCCTGATCGGGGGATGATTTCATAACACAGCTTCTTAGGCATCAGTGAATTAACTGTTACAATACTCAAGCAACATGCAATTCATGCAAATATTGTATGTGATAATATTATGAAATTATGACCGCCCAGGTGTCTGAAACACACCTCCGAGGATCCGTATTATTTACCATTTTTGTTTAGGCAAAAGTGTTATTTTTGAAGTGACACTTCTTAGGCGGTGGTCTGATATTTGGACGAGAATGGAGAGTGATTTGAAAGACACGTTACGTTGAGGCCCATTTCGTTCGAGCTTTATTTAAAACACAATACACGTATACACTCAATACAAACAAAGCGATAGAAGTCTCAGTTCTACCAAGTGTACAGCGCTGCACATGATTTTTTGTGTTTCAGAGTACTTCAAAAAAAAAAAAAGAGTACTTTAGTTAAAAATTGAAGCTATTAAGAAACTAAGTGTTTAAAAACCTTAAGTAGTGATAAGTACTTGTGTACTCTAAAGACTAATAAAAAATTCGTGAAAGCTCCAGCGCAGATTGCTTATGACACCCTTGCTGAAACTCTGGTGAAAATCAACAAATGGGATCCGAAACAGAAGCAAGATTTCCCGATACTTGCTTTAACAGCAGACCAGTTTACATCGGATAAAATAAAAAGTGAAATGGCACCTTGAATGTTACAAAAGAATTTAAAAAAAAAGATTCTTGGAAGCTTCAATTAAGTTTCTCGGGTGCCGATATCACAGGAAGTTTTAAACGAAAAGGTAAAATTAGTTTTTGGATGAAGTTTTTGGAAGCAACCCCATCCATGCTTCAGGCGTTGGAATCTTTGGGCAAAAGTGGAACGTTAAGTGACTCTGATATGGAGCAGATTGAGTTGTTTATTTGTTAAATATATTCACCGTCCAAGAAAAGTGTGAAAAGCCTAGCAGAATTGAGATGGTGATTGTTCTCGCAGAGGCAAGTTTCGACCGAAAATATGCCGTCCACTCGAGCAGCTTTGAAAATGACACTAGATAGATGCCACTCAGTGCATTGAATGGAATCAGGAGCTTCCACACCCCAATTTACCAGCTCTCACAAATTGCGTTTGGAAATTTGGCACTGATTGGAATTAGAACCAATTAGGTGTAGTTTTCCCTGCTCACCTGAAGGAATAATTAATCTATAATAATAATAATAATAATAATAATAATGCTTTATTGTCAGGAAAAAAAATTTAACAAAATTTGTTGACAAAGCCTTAAAAATAATATACATCTATCTGTATACAAAGTCAAAACAAAACAAACAAAATAAATAAGTAGGTACATCGAGTTCGAGGTATAAAATAAACTAAATTAGTCTAATAAATTATTAACAAAACAAATTACATACCTATAAACAATGCTCCAGTGTGTGGAATGCTCAAAATTATGTGTTCGCAAAAAAGTCATTTACCTTACAAAAAGGCTCTTTCCAACAAATATGATTTGAGAGCTATGCGGAATTTAGAAAGAGAAAATATAGACTTGATTTCTATTGGCAGATGGTTGTGCATTCTGAGGATGGGGTTGGCAGGTAAAGATCATGCTCCGCGTTTCTAAGTGGATAATGATGGAATGGCCTTTCTGAAATACTTGATAGGTGTTTGCGGATTAAACAGACTGACTTTTAGTATGAATAAGGAGGGAAGTGTCAATATTTTATATTTTTTGAAAAAAACTTGGCAATGGGCTCTATTCTTTAGCTTAAGAGAATAACGAATAGCCCTTTTTTGCAATTTAAAGATACGCTCAAATTGCATGTACCCCAGAATGGAAGGGCGTATCGAAGATGTGATTCGAAGAGGGCAAAGTAGACTGATTTAGAGGTTGAAAAGTTAACTTCCTTGGAAACAGATCTTATTGCGAAACAAGCGGAGCTCAATTTTTTGGACAAAGCATCGATGTGCAAGCTCCATTTCAGGGACTTGTCTATAATAAGGCCCAAAAACTTCACAGAATCAACGACGTCAATAATAGTGGCGTTATTAAGTGCAATAGGTTGCAACGTATTTTTGTATGACAGAACTTTGGTTTTCGCGGCGTTGAAACAGAGAAGGTTAGAGTCGCACCATGATTTAATGGTAAACAAATCATTGGACATGGTTCTATGAAGTGCCACAATATCCGGATTGCTCCAAGTGAAACTAGTATCATCAGCAAAGAGGCAGATTTTACCGCTGATGTCTAGACTAGCAATGTCGTTGATGAATAGCAAAAATAATATTGGACCCAACACGGAACCCTGCGGAACTCCACATTCAATTGGCCTGCATGAAGACATTGACCTATCAACCCTTACAAGTTGTTTTCTGTTGTTAAGATACGACTTGAACCATTCCAGAGGAAAGCCTCGAATTCCGTAGTATTGCAATTTGTTGATTAGGATATTATGACTTACACAGTCAAATGCTTTAGAAAAATCACAGAAAATTGATGCTGTAGAGTGCAAATTGTTCAGGCTAGAGTAGACATTATTGAAGACAGAGTACATAGCATCAATAGTACATCTGTTGGTTAGAAATCCAAATTGGTGAGTAGTTAGTATCTTATATTAATGCAGAAATGATAGGAGCCTTTTCTTAACCAATCTTTCAATGATTTTTGATAAAGTGGGAAGAAGTGCAATTGGACGATAGTTCGAAGCTAGATCTTTATCTCCACCCTTATGCAGAGGAATAATTATAGCCGTCTTAAGGCAATTTGGGAAAACACCCTGTTGGAATGATTTATTTATTAAAGTGGTGAGGAGATTCAATGTACATTCTGGCAAATTGAGAAACATTTTTAAAGTGAGCCCATCAGTCCCAGATGACAATTTGTTTTTGATGTCTTTAATTGTACTGCAAAGCTCTGATGTTTCCACGGGTGTTAGAAAAAAACTGTGTAAATTCATATTGATATTCGAAAGATACGAAAGTGGATCGCAGGTCGGAACTACAGTAGTCATTAAATTTTTTGCGACATTAACGAAGTAATCGTTCAGGTTCTCAGGTGAGGTAGAGGTTATACTGGATGAAGAAGCCTTATTTCTCAAATCGTTGACAATAGACCACGTTTCCTTGGCAATATTTTCGGTTTGAGCGAACCGGTTGTCATAATAGAGGTTTTTGACGGCTTTTATTGTTTTTCTATAACATATAACGTAATTTTGGAAGAAGGGATTGTCCGAAATTTTTTTAAGGTGTGCCAACGAGCGCATGTTCTTTGCAGATACGCGCAAGCCTTTAGTAGTCCAAGGTTTATGTTGTTTTTTTTTGATAGGCCTAAGAGGAAATGCCTTGGAAGCCAAACCAGAAAGTGTATTTGCAAATGTAGAAAATGCACTATCAATGTCATCAGAGAGGCAATCCCAAGCAATTGATTGACATAGGCGCCTAAAATTTCGAAAATTTTTTTCAGAGAAAATTCGGCGTAACTTATGTGGAGCGTCCCTGCCAATCGTCTTCACAGAAAAGTTTTTGAGTACTGCTTCATGATCTGAAAAACCTGAACTTAAAACAGAACACACAACGAAATTTGGATCAAAAGATGACACGACGTAGTCGATAGTGCTAGATCTGTTTTGAGTTATTCGTGTCGGAGATTGAACATGCATGACTATACCAAAAGATTCAAATATAGAGTCAAGAGATTCTTGGGCAGCAAACACTCTGGAAAAATCTATGTTTAAGTCGCCACATAAAATTAATTTACTATTAAGAGGGAGAGACTCAAGCAAGCTTAGTAAATTTTGAAAGAATGTAACCAACCAAGTCGGCGTCAGGTGTTCTGTAAATGCAAACAATGTAGAGATCGTAAATATTGTTGTAGACGATAGAAAATTCAAATAATTTCTCAATTAATAAATTGTCGAACTTAGTCACTGCCGAAAAGTTGTTATTAGTAGACATTATTACTGTACCTCCGTGGGATAATATACTTCTAATCTAATATACCTAGATATTGTTGTGTAATTTTTGACAAATACAGGCTCATCGATATTTAGCCAATGTTCAGTTATGGCAATAATTCCTGGAAAATTGAGCTCTTCTAGTAATAAATGTAATTCGTCAGTTTTGTGTCTTATGGACTGGATATTGATCTAATAAAAAAAAAAATTGTTCTCAAAGATGCAAATGTTCAGCACAAAATATATTTTGCACGGAAATGTGTAAATGTGAAGCTGATCCAGAATGTTGTACAAATACTAAAGCAAATGGAAAAACAACCTATGGCACTGATTCTGACTATGTTCTGGATAGCAAATTTAATGACGAATAATTTTATTTTTTTTACTTTTTTTAGTAAGGATGTCTCCCATGTCTATCTCGTAAACGGTAGCAGATACGGCAATGGTTGAATGAGACAAAAGTTGCGGAATTTAACGCTTAATAAAATGGTACTTTGGCATTTGAAAAATTCTGAATATTTTCCGAGATATCCGGAAAAAACCGAAATTTTGCTAAATTGACTTTATTTTTTCCTGAGCTTATTTGAGGAGAGATTTCAAAATAAATGTCACTTCATCGTTACCACTTTTACCACTCTACAAGATGACATTATCAATTTTGAGATTTGACGTTTCATCTTTGGGCAACCATCATCAACTTTATACGTCCCTGGATTTTTTATTTCAGATTTTAATAGCTTCTGATATCCCAAAATCCATGACGTATCATTTAATTCTTATGGAAAGTGTCAATAATATAAATGCGAATAAGTACAATATACGTCATTGGTTTTGGGGTATCAGAAACTTATAAAATCTAAAATAGAAAATACGCATTCAAAAAAATTAAGTTGATGATGGTGGCCCAAAGACAAAACGTCAAATTTCAAAATTGATAATGTCATCTTGTAGAGTAGGAGAAGTAATAACAATGAAGTGACGTTTATTTTGGAATATCTCCTCAAATAAGCTCAGGAAAAAATAAAATAGATTTTGCAAAATTTCGGTTTTTCCGGATATCTCGGAAAATGTTTAGAATTTTCCATATATCAAAGTGTCCTTTTACTAAATTACTAAGAATAATTGTCTTGTTTTGAACAGATTTTAGATATTTGTAGTACCTACTAAAATATACTTTGAGTAATGCCACTTTACTTGAAGCTCAATGTTTTTACTCAAACTAAATTAATGAAATTCAAGTAAATTTCAGGTTCACTTGATAATCAAAATATAATTTCAAAAAACTTGTACTTCGAGTACTTTTGTAATGTACTTGTGCCGACTCTGCAAGCAGAGTGATAATTACTCAAAAAATCATGATTTCCACACACTGGTAAGATACACAAATGCAAATTGACGGATAACCAAAAAGATTATTGCACTAATTATGTCTTATCTTTATTATTAAACGCAATTTGGATATTTTTGGTCGAATTAAAAATCTTGATTTAGTTGAGTATGTAATACTGTGGTAAATACCTATGTGAAAACGCATTAAACCTAATACAGTGATGATGGTACAATAACTTTTAAGTGGCTTATTATTTCATAAAAACCTATTACATTTACAGTTTTTGCTGGAATTTTGTGAAAAATGGACATAAAAATGACCGTAAGATACAACTATTATTGACGTAAAAATTATTTGTTCGACTACTCCATGGCCAAAGACCCATAAAACAATAAAATCCAATATTTGCTGATTTGATTATGTTTGCCAAGTCTGGGGTAGGTATCTATACATTTTTAAGTCGTAAAAATTATATCTATATTTATCTAGTACCTATACTCTAATTAAAATCCAAATAAAAGATTCGATTAGCACTTAATATAGCGACCAATAACTGATAGATTTTGATAAATTTCCTAAAGGTTTTGTTTCAATTGTGCAAGTAATTTTATTCATTTAAATATTTCCACCCACACATAAAGCAAACCACAAATACTAATTATTGAGTTTTAGTAAAGATTCCTTTGAAAAATATGTTGACTGACAAAACCGAAGCTGATGATGTGCCTATAATCATGGTTGAAGGCCCTTCAAAGGAGAATCTGCAAAATATCCCCTTTGCCGATGATGAAGGGGCTTCAAAAAATGAAGATGTTGAAGCTCAAAATCCAGCCAGAAGGAGTATGGGTAGAAAGAATAGCATTTCATTACCGAATTTGGACGATTTAAATGTTTTTAATGAACGGCAGCCTCAGGTGAGATTTTTTTTTCTTCTATTTAAATCATTTAATTGGTCAATTAACATAACAAGTTATCAAACTGTTAACTACATAAAAATATAATTTTGTTTATATAATATTTATTTATCAGTCAACACAAATGGGTTAAAATGATTAAATCTAAAATCACAGTACAAATTCTACTATGTAAATATATGGATTTTCAGTGCGAATGATGTTTTTGTTGAGTGCAAATTTTAATAAATAAATTATTATGAGCAATTTGCGGCCCAGATCAGTGAGTTTTAGTGGAATTAGTGAAATAATGGAAAATCAAGAAAAGAGAATTAAAAAATTACAGGTGATCTATAGAATTATTGGAGTTTTTAGTTGGAAATATGTATTTTTTAGATTTTGGGGAAATTTTCAAAGACAAATGATGTCAAAAGTACAAAACCCTCGTGAAACAAACTATATGCACAGCTTAAGCTATATGTAAATAGGGGCTTGTTCAGGGACGCAAGTATGGGGGGGAATGGGGTGAGGACGTCCCCCCCAACCAGATTAACCAGTAGTTGGGATATCGGGTGCAAGTTGGGAGAATCGGTACACTTGAAAACATAAAGATTCACGAGGAAAATGAAAAAATATTCCAAAAAATGAAAAAACAGCTGAAAAAAAACGCTAGTTGGCAGGGGCGTAGCCACAAGGGTGGGGGAGGGGATTTTGGGGGTTAACGAAGGTATAATTAGAAACTACTTCTGGAAATTATTAGAAAGTAAAAATTATAATACATATACTAACAATCTCAAAAAATTAGATGCTTTTGCCTTTTATTTTTTTAGTAAACATGTTGATTTTACCAAGTAACGTTCCCAAAAAGGGGAGAGGAGTCCGTGCGTCCCCCAAATTCACTCATTTACAACGAATTTTCCTACCTAAAATGTAAAGTTACGAAGGACAATAATGTATTGGGACATTATTAAAAATCCTAGAAATTTACCTCACGAAACCTATGTTTTAGCATAAACCTACTTTTTGACCCTCAAAATTTTATTCTTTACATATAAAGCATTTGACCTTGAAATTCTACAAAATTTTTTTTCTGACACCCCAATGTTTCTTAATTTCAATACCGAAAAACCCCCCTTATCTGAATTTTCAGGCTACGCGCTTGCTGGTTGGGATTTTTAAGAAAGACCAGTTGGGAGATTTTACCTACGTCACCCCCCCAATAAAAAGTCTTCGGGACGTCCCTGGGCTTGTTACACTGTAACTTTACCAGCTTATTGAAAATTTATCTAGTTTTTTCACGTTTTTGCAATTTTAGAGTCCAATTTTTATCAAAATAAATGCATAATTTTTCAAATTTTGTACTAGAAAAAAGTTTAGATAAAATAAAAAAAATCTTCAATACCAAGGTTAACTAACAGATAGTTTAAAGGTATTAAAACCCATTAAAAACAAATAACAAACAAATAAATGTTTGTTTGTGGTGCAGACATAAACAATTAAAAGTAGATTTAGATATAGCAGCATCATTAAAACCTCTACCTGGTGATTAAAAAAAAAAAAATCATTCACCCATTGCCCATTCAAGGGGGTAAACACGTTTATTGTTATTATGATCCCTGAATTGGAAGAGCTTATTTCAAGGTAATAATTCTTAATTATTATTGTTTTAATCCCTTTCAGATTGACGAATTCAATAATTCCCAAAACGACTTGGAAACTGACGATGAAATGGCGGAGATACGGTAAGTCTAGTGCCAACAAACAACACTAAAAATCAAAACAAATTAAAAACCGCTGATGCTCCTTGGCCTCACGTTCATTAAGAAAAAATAAAATGTGACTGAGTACTAATTCGAAAATAAATATGGGTTTTGGGGAATAAATATCCCAAGTGCATATTTGCAAAATATCTAATTTGTTGTGTAGGTTCTTATCTTGGCACACTCTTAACGACAAATCACTGGCATTCACGATAAGATTAATTAAGATTTAATAAAACAATTAAATTAAATGTACACCGTTTTTACGTAAAAATGGATGATATTTCATGCGGTGGTGCGGTTTTTAGTTACATTGTATTATAATATGCTATAAACATTGAGATTTATTAAAAAATATTATTATTCTGTGGATATTTTTGGTGTGTGTTAAGAATGCCTTTGCAAACACCATATACGGTGCCGGAGATTGCAATTAATACAGATGAAGAAGATGCATTAATGAGGTATTTTACATAATCTAGTAATATATATATTTTTATTTTCAATTATCCTTCTTCTGCTCTTTGTTCATTTTTGCCCTGATACTTTTTCATCGCTGTTATTGAGATTTTTTTATTCGTGCTTTTTTGCATATTAAAAATATTAGTTTTTTTTTCAGTATTTTAGTATTTATCAACATTAAGATTTTTTCTGTCTGCTATTTTTGTTCTTGTGGAAGAATAAGCTTGATTTGCCACTGCATTTTTTCCTTCTTTCTCGATTTTTTCAACGTTTTCCCCGCTATATATGTTCGTTTTTTTTTTTTTTTTTTTTCTATTTTATTTAATAGTTTTTTGTGTAAATTTTGGCTGTCTTTCTCCGTCCCTCTAAATTATATCTTTTTTCTCTCTCATGTAACGAAATTTGCCAAAACATAACGAAATTTGCCAAATGATTTAAATTTTGGAAAACTTTGGAAGGGCATAACTTTTTTTCTTTTATAGATAGAAAGCTGAAATTTTAATTGAATCTTATCTCAATAAAGCGACTACAATCCCTTTTCTATTATAGATAGAAAGCTGAATCTTTCACTGAAAATTATCCTTTTCAAAGGACTACAAACCCTGAAAATTTCAGCTCATTTGCACTTATAGTTCCTGAGATAAAATCGTGTTAAGCAATTTGGGTGATTTATCAATTTTTCAATTTTTCTGAGTGCCTTTTTTCATAGATTTCGGCTTCAAATCTGAGAATAAATTATTGTATGGAGTTTGGGGTATGTTGATTGATCATTACGATACAAAATCTCGAAAAAAAAAAATTTGAAATTTCATCGTTTTAGTAAGAAGGTACCCCCCTTATGATGTTTTTGGAAAACTTTGAAAGGTCATAACTTTTTTTCTATTATAGATAGAAAGCTGAATCTTTCACTGAATTTTATCTTTTCAAAAGGACTACAATCCCTGAAAATTTCAGCTCATTTGCACTTATAGTTCCTGAGATAAAATCGTGTTAAGCAATTTGGGTGATTTATCAATTTTTCAATTTTTCTGAGTGCCTTTTTTCATAGATTTCGGCTTCAAATCTGAGAATAAATTATTGTATGGAGTTTGGGGTATGTTGATTAATCATTAGGATACAAAATCTCGACAAAAAAAAATTTGAAATTTCATCGTTTTAGAAAGAAGGTACCCCCCTTATGATTTTTTTGGAAAACTTTGAAAGGTCATAACTTTTTTTCTATTATAGATAGAAAGCTGAATCTTTCACTGAATTTTATCTTTTCAAAAGAACTACAATCCCTAAAAATTTCAGCTCATTTGCACTTATAGTTCCTGAGATAAAATCGTGTTAAGCAATTTGGGTGATTTATCAATTTTTCAATTTTTCTGAGTGCCTTTTTTCATAGATTTCGGCTTCAAATCTGAGAATAAATTATTGTATGGAGTTTGGGGTATGTTGATTGATCATTAGGATACAAAATCTCGAAAAAAAAAAAATTGAAATTTCATCGTTTTAGTAACAAGGTACCCCCCTTATGATTTTTTTGGAAAACTTTAAAAGATCATAACTTTTTTTCTATTATAGATAGAAAGCTGAATCTTTCACTGAATTTTATCTTTTCAAAAGAACTACAATCCCTAAAAATTTCAGCTCATTTGCACTTATAGTTCCTGAGATAAAATCGTGTTAAGCAATTTGGGTGATTTATCAATTTTTCAATTTTTCTGAGTGCCTTTTTTCATAGATTTCGGCTTCAAATCTGAGAATAAATTATTGTATGGAGTTTGGGGTATGTTGATTGATCATTAGGATACAAAATCTCGAAAAAAAAAAATTGAAATTTCATCGTTTTAGTAACAAGGTACCCCCCTTATGATTTTTTTGGAAAACTTTAAAAGATCATAACTTTTTTTTCTATTATAGATAGAAAGCTGAATCTTTCACTGAATTTTATCTTTTCAAAAGGACTACAATCCCTGAAAATTTCAGCTCATTTGCACTTATATTTCCTGAGATAAAATCGTGTTAAGCAATTTGGGTGATTTATCAATTTTTCAATTTTTCTGAGTGCCTTTTTTCATAGATTTCGGCTTCAAATCTGAGAATAATTTTGTGTATGGAGTTTGGGGTATGTTGATTGATCATTAGGACACAAAATCTCGACAAAAAAAAATTTGAAATTTCATCGTTTTAGAAAGAAGGTACCCCCCTTATGATTTTTTTGGAAAACTTTGAAAGGTCATAACTTTTTTTTCTATTATAGATAGAAAGCTGAATCTTTCACTGAATTTTATCTTTTCAAAAGGACTACAATCCCTGAAAATTTCAGCTCATTTGCACTTATAGTTCCTAAGATAAAATCGTGTTAAGCAATTTGGGGTGATTTATCAATTTTTCAATTTTTCTGAGTGCCTTTTTTCATAGATTTCGGCTTCAAATCTGAGAATAATTTTGTGTATGGAGTTTGGGGTATGTTGATTGATCATTAGGATACAAAATCTCGACAAAAAAAAATTTGAAATTTCATCGTTTTAGAAAGAAGGTACCCCCCCTTATGATTTTTTTGGAAAACTTTGAAAAGTCATAACTTTTTTTCTATTATAGATAGAAAGCTGAATCTTTCACTGAATTTTATCTTTTCAAAAGGACTACAATCCCTGAAAATTTCAGCTCATTTGCACTTATAGTTCCTAAGATAAAATCGTGTTAAGCAATTTGGGGTGATTTATCAATTTTTCAATTTTTCTGAGTGCCTTTTTTCATAGATTTCGGCTTCAAATCTGAGAATAATTTTGTGTATGGAGTTTGGGGTATGTTGATTGATCATTAGGATATAAAGTCTCGAAAAAAAAAAAATTTGAAATTTCATCGTTTTAGAAAGAAGGTACCCCCCTTATGATTTTTTTGGAAAACTTTGAAAGGTCATAACTTTTTTTCTATTATAGATAGAAAGCTGAATCTTTCACTGAATTTTATCTTTTCAAAAGGACTACAATCCCTGAAAATTTCAGCTCATTTGCACTTATAGTTCCTGAGATAAAATCGTGTTAAGCAATTTGGGGTGATTTATCAATTTTTCAATTTTTCTGAGTGCCTTTTTTCATAGATTTCGGCTTCAAATCTGAGAATAATTTTGTGTATGGAGTTTGGGGTATGTTGATTGATCATTAGGATATAAAGTCTCGAAAAAAAAAAATTTGAAATTTCATCGTTTTAGAAAGAAGGTACCCCCCTTATGATTTTTTTGGAAAACTTTGAAAGGTCATAACTTTTTTTCTATTATAGATAGAAAGCTGAATCTTTCACTGAATTTTATCTTTTCAAAAGGACTACAATCCCTGAAAATTTCAGCTCATTTGCACTTATAGTTCCTGAGATAAAATCGTGTTAAGCAATTTGGGGTGATTTATCAATTTTTCAATTTTTCTGAGTGCCTTTTTTCATAGATTTCGGCTTCAAATCTGAGAATAATTTTGTGTATGGAGTTTGGGGTATGTTGATTGATCATTAGGATATAAAGTCTCGAAAAAAAAAAATTTGAAATTTCATCGTTTTAGAAAGAAGGTACCCCCCTTATGATTTTTTTGGAAAACTTTGAAAGGTCATAACTTTTTTTCTATTATAGATAGAAAGCTGAATCTTTCACTGAATTTTATCTTTTCAAAAGGACTACAATCCCTGAAAATTTCAGCTCATTTGCACTTATAGTTCCTGAGATAAAATCGTGTTAAGCAATTTGGGGTGATTTATCAATTTTTCAATTTTTCTGAGTGCCTTTTTTCATAGATTTCGGCTTCAAATCTGAGAATAATTTTGTGTATGGAGTTTGGGGTATGTTGATTGATCATTAGGATATAAAGTCTCGAAAAAAAAAAATTTGAAATTTCATCGTTTTAGAAAGAAGGTACCCCCCTTATGATTTTTTTGGAAAACTTTGAAAGGTCATAACTTTTTTTCTATTATAGATAGAAAGCTGAATCTTTCACTGAATTTTATCTTTTCAAAAGGACTACAATCCCTGAAAATTTCAGCTCATTTGCACTTATAGTTCCTGAGATAAAATCGTGTTAAGCAATTTGGGGTGATTTATCAATTTTTCAATTTTTCTGAGTGCCTTTTTTCATAGATTTCGGCTTCAAATCTGAGAATAATTTTGTGTATGGAGTTTGGGGTATGTTGATTGATCATTAGGATATAAAGTCTCGAAAAAAAAAAATTTGAAATTTCATCGTTTTAGAAAGAAGGTACCCCCCCTTATGATTTTTTTGGAAAACTTTGAAAGGTCATAACTTTTTTTCTATTATAGATAGAAAGCTGAATCTTTCACTGAATTTTATCTTTTCAAAAGAACTACAATCCCTAAAAATTTCAGCTCATTTGCACTTATAGTTCCTGAGATAAAATCGTGTTAAGCAATTTGGGTGATTTATCAATTTTTCAATTTTTCTGAGTGCCTTTTTTCATAGATTTCGGCTTCAAATCTGAGAATAAATTATTGTATGGAGTTTGGGGTATGTTGATTGATCATTACGATACAA